TACTTATTCTTAATGTTCCCGTAGATATCAAAATTTTAATGCATATTTTTTTATTTTTGTTTTTGATTCTTTATTCAAATCTATAATTAAAAAAAATTCTAAAATTTTTTTATACTTTTGCCGCCATTTTAAAAAAATATGCTGAAATATTATATCATATTTTTGATGCTCTTTACAATTCTAAACGTTAAAATTTTTACCTAATTTTTGTTACTTTGGCCGCCATTTTCTTTATGATCCCGAAGAGATATCAAAATTTTAATGCATATTTCTTATGCTTGTTTTTGATGCTTTATTCAAATCTATACTTTAAAAAAATTTCTTAAATTTTTTTTTACTTTGGCAGCCATTTTGTCCATGTTCCCGAAGAAATATCAAAATTTTAATGCAACCTTTCAATACATTATTAGTAGTCCTCTAACCGAATCTGAAGTCAGAATTTCAAAATTCGCAAAAAAATTGCTACACACACACAAAAAGCTCGTATAGATTTCAGAAAACAAAACTTTTCAAGTTTTTTTTGAAAATATAATAGAAAAATGTATTTATTTATTATACCGGTACTATTAAACAGTTAATATGTTTGCATTAATTTATTTTTATGTTACTATAAACTGGCCTTGACTATATTGTTATATTATTATCATTATTTAGGTTTAATTTAAAAAATTTATTTTAAAAAGCATTTATTATTATTATTATTATACTATTAAATATTTGATTTATAGCTTTTAGTGATGCAATTTCATGTTTGATGGGATGCGTGTCACTGTATATAATATATATGTGTATTAAAAAACTTTTATTATTTATTAATATTATCATTTTATTGTTATTACTATTTTTAAAAAATAAATTTAACAAAAATTAGATCAACTATATGTTAATGTAAACCTATATCCTAGTTAACAAATATACAACAATAGATAACTTATTATTAATAATGATATCATTCAGTGAATATTAAAATAAAATATATAGTTTTTGTTTACAACAAAAATATTATACACATAAATATATATTTATCTAATTATCAATCATTCAGTATTAATATGAAAATAACATTTTTTATGTTTTCATTAACACATAAAAATAAATATATATATATTTTATACTAATCTATAATAATAAATATATGATGTGTTGAAAAACAACTTTCATCATTAAAAATAAATAAAATATTTATATAAAAAAAATATTAAAAACAAAATAATACAAAAATAATATATGAATTATTATTTGAAAATTTAAAATTTGTTGAACCGCTTGCATAATAAATATATTTATATTTTAAATAGTATTTTATCAAAAAACAACAACAATTTTTCCAATAAATCATTTGCAATAATATCATTATTTAATGTCATTTCCTCTAAATAAATATCAATTACAATCTAAACTAAAACAAAAAATAATTATTTTTAAATAAAAACAGTTACAGGATATACTATAAATTTAGCATGTTGATTTCAATTTCAATGGCAATTTATTTTTTTTAATTTTACTATTTAATGGAAACATGTTTTTTCATAAATAAATATTAAAAATATATTTTTAAACACACATATAAAACTGTTTTTTATTACTAAAATACTTTTATTACTATTTTTTTCAATGTTATTAAACTATATATGATATTTTATTATCCTATATATATATACACAAACTATTATATACTATTCAATTTAAGTTAATTTATTAAAAAAATAAATTGAAAATTAAATTGAATTTAAATTGTTTGACTTTAATTTGATAGCAACAGGAAATAAATGTCATATTTTGTTAATCAATTAATTTATGGACTCAATTAATTCTCACAATTGTTATTATGATATATATATATATATATAAAATAAGTATATATATCATACTTTAATAAACATAAATATTAAATTATATATATATATTCTGCAAATATTTATACTGTATATGTGGTATCATATTTTATTTAACACACAATTTGACTGTTATTTTTATGTTTATATGATTTATAGTATTATGTCATTTATCAAAAATTTCAAACAAACAAAAATATGAATAATTAATAAAAATCTTCAATACATACTAATTATCAAAACTGGTTTATATATATATATATATATAAAGATAAGTTTATTTTTATAAAAAAAACAATTAAGTATTTCTTTCAAAAAAACATATGTGTGTTTGTGTTATATACTAACGGTATAAATAAATAATAAAATTAAAAGCAAAAGTACCGTAAATAACAATTAAAAAATAATATAATTATCACTTTGGGATAAATAGCTTACTTTTACTTTAACTTTATAATTTACTAATACTTTATAATAATAATAATAATACAATAACAACTTTATACTGGCATTATTTGTTGTTATTGTTAAAAAAAATTGTATTATGTTTATAAAATTAAGTTAAAATTAATTATCATAAATAAACAATTATTTGTCATAGGCTATAAATTCATAAAAATATATAATTATCTTTTTTAAAAAATAAAAACCCCTAAAATAATTTTTTTTGTAATAAAATTATATTTAGTGAGAATTTATCCTCTATTAGCTTAAAAATAACAATGAATTTACTGTACAATGACTGTAATAAAAATATTATAATTTTTTTTTTAAATTATTGTATAAATTAATGTATAAATTAAATATTATATTTATTAAATAAAAATTATTTTATTATTTTCAAAAAATATAATTTCACTTTTGTTGTTAATTTATGACCGCAGAATATAATACTTAAAATAAAAGTGACAAACAATTGGTTAATGTTTTTATTAGTAATAATAATAATAATAATATATATTTAAAAAACACAATTTAAATATTCAAAAATTTCAATTTGAAATCAAATACAATATTGTAAATCATAGGGAGAGAGACATTTGATTCATGCAATTTGATATTAATTAATGATTATTGTATTGTATTATAAAAATATGTATATATCACTGGTGATCATTCAAGTGATTTCTGATTACTTTTGATTAAAATGCACTGTCGAAGCTTATGGTTTATTATAATATATTTCATCTAGCTCAAATACACTGTTACATATTAATTTTAATTAAGTGGTATATTTTATTTAATATTATATAAAAAAGGTTATTAAATTTGTGTATTATATTTTTTTTTGTTTTTATCTTGGTCAGTAATTATGTTTTTAAGTAAGGGACCGTATAATAATCGTGATATCGCCTGGTATATAGTGTTTGAATTTAAAGTTTAAATTTTAAAATACAGATATTCAATGCTATTTATATTTAAATCTCTCTCTCTCTCTCTCTCTCTCTCTCTCTCTCCCATTCATTCATTGAATGGCACACTCATACAAACACACACACATACAGACAGACACACACACACACACAGATACAGACACACACACACACACAGATACAGACACACACATACACACACACATACACACACACATACATACATACATACATACACACACACACACACACACACACACACACTTCCTCTCGCCTATTATTTAGGACCATTACTTTAAGGTGACCCATAAGTATCTCAACCCCTCCCTTAGTTAAGTTAGTTAAGGGATGTGACATATGAACTACAGGTATAGGTATTTACCTTTTTTTGATAGATATACTAATAATACCAGACATCTGTCGATTATTGTTACCTTATGTCACATAACCATAGATTTTAAACACACAATACTCTTTGTATCAGTGATTTAATACTAAATATATATTTAAGGATATCTACAAAATTTTTACAATATTTATATATAGAAAATTAATATTTAAATTAATTAAAAAAAAGTAAATAATAATAAAAATATTATTTTTAATTCTTTTAAAAAAATATAATACAGTATTCAAAATAATGTTATAGTTATTTATTTGGTTAAAATTTTTAAAAAATTAAATAAAATTAAATAATATTCAATTTGTAACAAATTGTATATATGTTAAATATTTTTGTTGTTGTTGAAAAAACCTACTTGAACATTTTTAAAAATAAAAATCAACAAAACTAATAGCTAACTAATAAGCCCACTCACTCACTCACCCACCCACCCACCCACCCACCTGCCCCCTAACCAACCAGTGTCATCAAACTATACTTTAAAACAACAACACCAACAATATGTCATACATAATACTATACGAGTGCTGTCACAATGATATCTACTTTACCCAATTGGACGACAAACTGGCCGACTATCTGGAAGCCTATCAGGTGACCAACAAATATCTGCCCCACTATAAGTATCACGTACGCAACTATATGGTCAATGTGGTCAACAAGTTGGCCAAAAAAGGCTACCGTGTCTCACATGCGACTGACCATCGGATAATTATGCGTCGCAAATTATCCGGCCACCGGGCCTGGTGGACACATGCACGTATCAAATGGGCCCAATTGACTAATATGATAAGCAATGTTAATTTTCGTCAATATAATTTGTAATATATAAATATATATATTTGTATATGTATTAATTTTTAATAATATTATTTTATTTTATTTTTACTCAAAATATAAATATATTTTAATATATATATATATATATATATATTTATTTAATAACTTAATTATACTGTAAAAATCTCATACATTTTTCTAATTTGTTAATTAGATATTACAGTATTATTATTATTATTTTTGAGTTACTTTTATTTTGTAAAAGACATTTTGTTAACGTAGCTATAATATTAATAAATACATATATGAGAAATATTTTTTTTTTTAAATACAATTTAATATACAATATACTACTAGTATATAGGCGCACACTTATTGTTTAATATGCATAAAATTGTGATAAATTATTTAATTATTTATTTTTTTTATTAATTAATTATAATATTGTATAAATCATATTAATTATAATCAATATTTTATAGTTACATAAATTTTAAAATAAAAATATTAATAACAATGACAATATCATGAATTATATTATTATTATTTATTAAACAAATTGATAATTTATAAAACAATAAATTATATAATTAATTTATACAAAAATTTTTATACAGTATTTTAGTAAAATAAATGAAATCAATTAATTAATTAATAATAATAACAATAATAATAATAATAGTTAGCTCAGGACAGGACTCCTATATATTAGTCATCCCAGGCGACAACACCGCAACCAACAGGACTGCCGGCATTGCCCGTAATAAGCGACTTATTGTTACCGCCCTGACCCAGATCATCCCGGTGCTCGTGAACCAGTATAGCTCGGCCGACAATACTATTATCGCCGTGTAGTTCGACAAACGAGTCGTTAATGTTAACCCGGGCCACACCGTTATCGGCGGCCACTATATTGCCAAAGTCGCCGGTATGCGCGTGCGAACCTCTTGCTCCGTGAGCGGCGTGATGGGCATCAAAATGGCTGCCCGCTTTTTCGCAACCCAACGATATGTCGCCCCATTGGTGTACATGCATACCGTGCTGGCCTTTGGCCAGACCCTCAATCTGGCCTCTGATGTTGACCCGACCGTTTTTGTTTTCCCTGAACCGCAACTCTCCCCTGACTAGTCCACCCGATTTTGGTCCGCCACGTATTAGTACGATGGCGTTGTGTATTTCGTGCACGTGCTGACAGTTGATATACTGGTGCTGATGGTCAATGATGAACAGCACCGGTAACAGTACTGCTAGAGCTAGAAAACTAATAGTAGTGGTCATTATGATTACCAAAAAAAAATAATAAAAATAATAATAATAAATTATTTGTTAGTTTTTTTCCTAATAAAAAAAATATATATATAAATGTTATATTTTAATCAATTAGATTTTAGTAATAAATGATTTATTATAATTAAATGTTATACTGTATAATAAATTAATATGATATGATAGTAGTAGTAGTAGTAATAATATAATATTAAAATAGACATTCATTTTGTAAGAAAATTTTTAATTAATAAATTTTTTTAAACTTATGGGTAATTTGAGGTAATTAAAACTAATTAATTTTACTTTTAAAAAAAATTATATTAAAATAACTGGAACTTTTTTGTTTTTACTTAATTAAAATTGTTAAATAATTTATTTTTTTGAGTGTATATAGATTTTATACATATTAAAAACATTATTTTAAAAATTATATTATACTTATTTTTATTAGTAAATAAATTATTTAAAATTAAAATTACTATTATAAAATCTATTTATTATTATTATTTAAAAAAAATTATTATTATATATATGTTTTTGTTTGTTAAAATAATTTCCAAGTTATAATTTATTATTAATTTGTTAACAATATTAATAATTAGTAAATATTATATTTTGAAATTAAGCGCCTAAAAAATGCTAATGATAAATTTATATTAACGTTATTAATGGTCGTAATTTATTTATTTTTTAAAAATAAAATAATATGTACATTGTACATTGTACAGTTGCACTAAAAAAATTTATTATTTATTTCTATAAAAATTTAATTTTAATTTTTTAAAAAAATATCTATCCAATGTTAATATAAATAAAATTGTTTAATACACTTAATTTAATAAAAATAAAATAAATTATTTATTGAATAAAAAATTATAGCGTGTATTGTATATAATGTGTATTTTATTGTATTAAAAAAATAACGCACGTGCTACCATTAAATAAAAATATAAACATGATACATTTTCAAAAAAACAAACAAAATAAATATATCAACCTAGTTAAGTTATTAAAAAATTATTATTATTAATATAATAATAATTATTATTATTATCATCATTAGTGAAACTAATAGTTATTATTATTACTATTACTTTATAATTAAAATAATAATATATTATAGTATTAATGTTGAAATTAACCGCAAAATTATGTATGAATTGTTGTGTCCAACAATTTCATCGGCAATATAACCGTAAGTGTGTGGGTATGTGTGGGGGAGGGGTAGTTAACACCCACCCCTATCCCCCGATTGAATAACCCATTTCATTATTATTTAATATATAGCATGAATTATAATCACATTTTTTTTTAATTTCTTATTTAGTTAAGTATATCAACAAATATTACGTGTTTTTACTGAACGCGCCGCCGACCAGTCGTTTGCTGCACGTGTCTGGCAGTGGTCTACGGGCGCCCGTCAAAGACTACTACGAGATACTGGGTGTGGCCAGGAATGCCTCGCAAAAGGACATCAAACGGGCCTACTATGAGTTGGCCAAACGCTATCATCCGGACACCAATCACGGTATGGATGCATCCGATGCCCACATTTGTGATGACTGGCCTAACATTTTTCTGACAATATATGACTGACTCTCTCTCTCTCTCTCTCTCTCTCTCTGGTATGACTGGGTGTATAGGCAATAGCGATGCTCAGCAACGGTTTCAGGAGGTGGCCGAAGCCTATACAATACTGTCGGACGACTCTCGTAAGGCCCGATTCGATGCGGAACAGTCGCAACCGGTCGGCGCCCGCGACGATGACTTTGACGGTGTCCGGCGGTCGACATTCAACGAATCGTTTCATTCGACAGTAGACGCTGAGGACATGTTTCGCAAGATTTTCGGCAACTTTAAGGACGAGTTCGGTAAAGTCAAACAAGTATGGGTCGACTTTCCCGAGAATGCCTACGGTTTTACACCGACACAGGAGATACACTGTACGCTAACGTTTCGCGAGGCGGCTCAGGGATGCGATAAAGTGGTCGAAGTCAATGTACAGGACGAGTGCTACAAATGCCAGGGATCGGGGTATGGTATTAGTGGTCACTGACGACCACTGATTGATTGATTGATTGACAGTTAGTTTTGAGATAAATACAGTTAACTATTATTATAAATTTGGTTATTACTTGTAGTTATACTGTATATTATATATTAAAATCTTTAAATTTGTAAATACAGACATCAAGAGAGAGAGAGGAGAGAGAGAGAGAGAGGAGAGAGAGAGAGAGGAGAGAGGGAGAGAGAGAGAGAGAGTATTACGATACCTAATAATTATGATAACTATGTTTAACTAATAATAAAGTAATAGTACTGTAATATTAATTAAATTCAGTTTACCGGTAATAATGATAATTAATATATTGTTTTACGAAAGTTTGTTATTTGTATGACTAAACAGTATATTTAATATCAGTTTTTATTTTGTTTTTATATTAATTTTGTGTTATTTTTTGTGGACACTTTTTTTTAGTGTAGAGCCGGGTCGTTACGCCCAAACCTGTCCTTTCTGTGACGGTGTTGGCTTAGAACAGTTAAAAGGTCAGGCCATGAACTTGAGGACCACTTGTCGCGTTTGTCGGGGCACTGGTCAGTACATCTACTGGAAGTGTACGAATTGTCACGGATTTGGACATGTAATCGATAAGCGTCGACTGATAATACCGGTGCCGGCCGGTGTCGAAGACATGCAGACAATGCGGGTGGAAGTGGAGGGCCAGGAGATGTTCATTACGTTTCATGTGTTGGTCAACAAATACTTTCGACGGGACGGCTACGACGTTCACACCGATGCCAGTGTATCGCTGGCTCAGTCAGTACTCGGCGGTAATATTAAGATTGAAGGTATGATTTGGGTCTCTGTGTGTGTGTTAGTATGTTTGGGAATTGGATTGTAAATATGTTGTCTCTCTGTCTATCTATCTATCTATAGGTGTGCACAGCGACATAAATCTGGACATACAGGCGGGAACCGATTCGCACACTGTTATGAAGTTATCGGGAAAAGGTTTGAAGCGTACCGACGGTCGATTTGGTTACGGCGATCATTACATACATATTAAGATTGAGATTCCCAAGTATGTTGGGTTGGAGGGGGGGGGGTTGTGTGACTCCCAGTGCTCGTCAATTATAATAATTATCTGTTTCTTATTGTTTTTTTTTAATTTGTTTTGTGGTCTAATTGTAGAAAACTGTCACCAAAACAACGACAACTGATGGTGTCGTACGCTGAGCTCGAAGATCATACGCGCGGCACAATTACCGGTGTCGTGAAAAAGACAAGTATTTTTAAAAATTTTTATTTTTTATTTAAAATATAATTTAATGATTAATTACCGCTAATTTAAATAGCAATCACTATATAATAATCGCTTATCTATTTATTTTTAGATATTACTGAAGATACTGATGCCTACTCTGGTCGTGATATTGACAACAATATGACGTCTGATACTACTGTCGTCTCTCCCCTTAAACGTATTGCCAAAAATATTTATAGGCGACTATTTGTTAGAAATACAGCATAGCGTGGATAGACGGGGGGTAGGCTGAGAGGATACGGTAGATAAATTAGGATAGTTATAATATTTTAGGTTATTTAATAAGATTTTATTATATCAATTGTGTAAATAAATAATATGATGATATACTTACTGTTTGTTACTATAATAGTAATTAAAAAAATGTTTATAAAATTCAAGTGAAGTAAATATTTTTTTAAATATAAATTTACCGGTAGTTTTTAAATTAATTTTTTTTTAATATAATTATATTTATTTAGTATAAATTAAAAAAATTTCTGCTTAAAAATCATATTACCGTATATTATAAGATAATATTATAATTTATACTTGTCGGTATTCAAAATTTAGTTTTATTCAATTTTTTTTAATTTGTTAATACAATTTTATATAATACAGTATAATACCGTATATTGTTGTACATGAATTTTTCAATTTACCGATAATATTACCGATAACTTTACACTACAATCAATGTTTGTGTGTATATATAAACTAAGCCGCCTTTCCGTATGCTTTATCAAATGCTGCCTTCAAACAGGCCTACAAAAAAAACAATACAATTATCAATTACAATATATATATATAGTTAAATCTAATTTAAATCAATATCTAGAAAAAATAGTCGCTTAGGTAGTGTAGACTCTCTACAGCACATGTATAACAACAAACAATATCGAGACATACCTTACGGGCCTTCCATTTCTCTCTCCACTGTTCCTTCAGTTTCTTGAGCTCATCGCTATTATCAGCCTTTTCAGGCTCTCCCTCACCCCCACCACCTCCAGCACCGGGACTTCCCTTTTGTTGTCTCATGTGTTGAAAAGCTTCGTGTCGTTTCTTAATACACGACTTGTATTTATCACTACAAACTTTTTGCAACATCGCCTGGTTTTCATGTTTCTGGCACTTGTCGTTGACATCATCGGCCTCTTTGGCGCACTCGTCGGTATCACATTTGGCCATCTCTTCCCTCAGCACATCCAACTTGTCGTCTTTCATGTTGTCCGCCGCACACATACGATCTTTGGCCTCCTTGTCATGGCTAAGGAAAGCCATACCTGATTTACCCATCATTCCCGGTCCGCCTCCTCCTCCTCCGTGTCCATGTCTTCCATGTCCACCATCACCGGCGTTAACTAACTGTCCCAATAGACAGCCGAGTAGTGCAAATAGTAGATATATTTTTTGCATTATTTTCAAAATGAGATAACAATTAATGGGATGCAAATGGGATAAATGGGTTAATTTATATGTATTGTTTGATAAGTATGTGTATCTATACAAATGTGTTTAAATATATATAAATTTAAATTATGTGATACATAATCAATTTTTGTTTAATTATTTATTTAATCAGTTGTTTTTAGTTGTTGGAATTTTTATCATTATCAACGATATAATGACAATAGTGGTACCAATTGATGATTAATTAATTTTGTTTTCTTTAATTTGTACCCAACAATAAAATTATACTATAGTATAAAGTAAACATATTAACAGTGTATATTTAAATTAATTATGTTTGATATATTGTATTGTATTTTATAGATATTTATTGTGTGTGTGTGTGTGTATGTATGTATGTATATATATATATATATATATATATATATATATATGTGTGTGTGTAATGATTATACCGGTAAATGTAAATGTAAATTTAATTTATGAAATAAATCATATATTTAGTGCAATACTACAAAAATTAATTGATAAACAATTGAATCTATTTTTATTCTTAAAAAATAAAATATTTTAATTGACAATAATTTTTTTTAGTATTTTTTATAATTTTTTATTATATTATTTTCCTTTTATATAGATTGTTAATTAATATAAATAGTATTTTAATTTTGTCTAAAAACTAAATTTAGTAGATTAATTTACAGTGAAAAAAACAATAACAAAATAATTACAAGTTTAGCATTGAAAAACAAAATCACAAATAATTCAACAAATAATTCATATAAATAACTAATTTTATTTATATATGTATATAAATTTATTTATGTAGTTTAGTTCAGTTAATAAGTTATTAATATAATTTTTCAATACATATACAGTACTTAAACATATACACTATTACTGTATTTAAATACTAACAATGAAAATACTGTACTAAATTGCATACTAAAAAAATACAGTACATTATTACATGGCAAAAAAATGTAATGTAAAAAATGAGTATAATTAATAGTAATATTTAATAAAATAATAATTATTATTATTCATAAAATATCACACGTAAACACACATATGTTATTACAAACATAGTTTTATATATATAAATATATTAATATAATATATATACATACAATATTAACACAGTATATATATATATAAACATTTATATATAGTGTAGATATTTAATAATAACACAAATAAAACAAATATTTTATTATTGAAATAAAAAAACTTATTTTACGAAATATTTTATTAATTAATTATTTTTTTTGGTGGTAAATAACATGGCATTTATATCGAAAACAAATAGTGGCCTAAAATTTCCCATATTTTACCCGGATGAATCAATTGACTATGCCCTCAGATACGAACCCAAAAATACCGATATTTTTGTGATAACATATCCCAAGTGCGGCACCCAATGGTGCCGACAAATTGTTAGCCTGATTGTTAACAACGGGGTCAGGTATGCCAACGATCGGCTATTGGATGTATTGGAGTACAGTGGCCAAGAGTATCGATACGATAATTTAGGTAGGAGCTATACTATCACCAACAACAACAAAAATAAATAAATAATAAAAATATTTTTTAATACTATAGTTTAAAAAAAATTATATATTTATGTATTGTTTTATTTTATTTTTTTATACAATTATTGATGATATTTATATAAAAAAAATAATTAATATATTTTTGTTATTTAAAAACAACTGATTCATTATATTATATTATATATTAAATAGTTATCGACAGACTGACCACAAGCACCGTTGTGTCCACCCATTTGCCCATACAGTTGTTGCCGTACACATGCGGGTCGGACACCAAATATATATGTGTATTGCGTAATCCCAAGGATGTAGTAGTGGCCTATTATCATCAACTGTGCGATCAGTGTATGTTTGCCGGTACTGTACACGAATTTGTCGACCTATGGCTCGATGGTAGGGCACCGTATGGCGACTATTTTGAATACTGTCGACTCTATTGGCAACAACAGTATGTTTGGCCAACAAATATGTTGTGCCTGATCTACGAACATATGACCTACAATTTGCGGCCGTATATAATGAAAATTGCCGAACTATTGGGCGATAGTTATGTAAATCGGTTGACCACTAGCGAGCCGGCACTGATCGATACGATTATCGAAAAGTCGACGACCGGTTATATTAGGCATACACTGTCGGGTATGCGTCTGAGGAAGAGTATTGTCGGCCACTGGCGAACACATCTCAACCAAACAGATAGCTATGCTATCGATAAAAAAGTTGACGAAGTCTGGACGGGAACCGGTTTGGAGCGACTGTGGGAACGGGAGATGAAATTTTTATAGTTTGCTTAGACTAGACTAACACAAACAACTGCAACAAAATTATAGATAAAAACATTATACATATAGTATTATAATTACAATTTTTTGTGGTCATTATATTTTAAAAAAATATTTTTTATATACTCTAGTTTTTTAGTAATAGTTTTTAGTTTGTTTATAATAATCAACTAATATTATAAATGTTATATTAAATGTTGTATAGTATTAAAGTTTAGAGATTTTATTTGTTTGTGTGAAAACATTTTATTGAATAAAATTGTTGAAATATAGATAAAAATAAATAAATAGTTAATAAAAAAAATATTGTGTAATTATAATTTTTGTGATAATGTTAAATTTTATTATGACCATGCGCATAAAATAATTTAAACTTTGCGCCTCAATAAAATTGTATAATACAATACATGTTATAATACTATTATAATAATAATTGTATTGATCGACAACAACTTTTTTATTTAAAAAAACTACATAATTGGTTATATTATATGATATACAAATATATTCATAATTATACCCTATTGTCATATTATATAAATATATATCAATTAAATTAAGTACATTATAAAGTATATACAATAATTGACATATTTAGCATATATTTATATATCTACAGTAATGCCATATAATTAAACAATTAAATATTATATATAAATTTATTGTTTTTTCTAGCAATTAATTTTAGCTTATTTTTTCTAAATACTACTTAATAAGTACAGTAATAGTAATACTACTGTATTTTACGGGGGGGGGGGAACATATATTTGATAAATACGGTATATATTAGGTTAGGGTATAATAGGTTGGGCTCAAAAAATACCGGTGCAATACTGTCATATAATGTAAAATAATGGACAACGGTGTCAGCACTTGCCCTAGACATATATCAATATATACCATACTTTAGCTACCAGTGCGCTTCCATGCATTTTCATCAATAGCAGTAGAGTTACCAAAAAAAAAATTCTACTATATATCGATATATAATTTTATTTTCTACTAAAGAATATATTCTATAGAGACTAAAATTTATTAGTTTTATTTGTTGGTACAAAAATGCATTTAAAAAAATAATAATTAAATTTTTAAATTTTTATTTTTTCAAAATTGAAAACTAAACTAGTTAAAAAAAATTCAATTATAGTCATATAGACATACAGTATATACAATATATATATATATATATATATATTAAAATACATACAGAATATTCTCTATGTTCCGCATGCTATCAGTCGTCGACACTTATTATCCAAGCATGCGTATGTATGTATGTAACTGTGTATGTATGGTACGGCAGCAGCAGCACTGGTAGATTTTCATCACTGTGCTCAAACACTATAGGGATAGAAACTGGGAAACTGTATGTATACTATGTATGTATATACTCTATATATGTGTCTGTGAACCGTAATTTTTAAGTAGCGATTAGAGTGAGTGAAAACAGATAGACTCGAGTGAGTGACTGAGTTAGTGTGTGTGTGTATATGTATGTATGTGTGTGTGTGTGGATAGTCTATGTGTAATACAATGAGTGAACAAATTTTCCCAAATAATAATAATAATAAAACTGAGCATGATAATTCTATAAATATATACTGTACAGTATATATAATGTTACATTCACACACACAATGGTTAAATTAATTAAATAAATTTTTAACAATGTTTCATCTTGGATATTTATAAATAATATAGTTAATTTTTTTTATTATAAAAAAAATCTAGCACAATAAATTTTTATAAATATTGTTTATTAATATACTACTACTATTACTAATACTACTGTTATTATTATTATTATTATTACTGTCATTATTATAATAATAACAACAACAACAACTACTACATTACATCTACAATGTGTTTATAATTATTTATTTATTTTTTAAAAAAAGTGTGTATTTTTTGTAATTATTTAATTTATTTTTTGTTGTTGTTGAAAATAAATCATGTTAATTAGAAAATTATAGATAGTGCATTAAGTGATCATGTTAATAATAATAATAATTAATAATAAACATAATAATAATAATAACTGTATTATAAAATTATGATAATACTAAATAGGTTAAAGTGTTTAATCATGTACATTTTTTTGTGCCAATGGTTGCCGCTTATCATCATCAACAACATTAATATTAAAAATACTAATAATAATAATTGCATGATCAAGATGATTTTATTATTAACATTGATTAGTGAAAAATTATTATTTAATATTAATGTTGTTGAAGCGGGTAGTAGTGATGCGTAAGTACAGTATATACCTTAAAAATATATATATATCTAATTATACTTTGAATATTTTTATAAATTAATTTGTGTTATATATGGTACTGGTAGTCATTATTGATGGAAAAAATATTAATTTTAAAATTAAATTATTCAAATATAATATCATATATATATTATATACCAAAATAAACAAAACAAAATTTATTCAATATGTTTAACCATTCAGAGAGAGAGAGAGAGAGAGAGAGAGAGAGTATGGCATTCACTGTAGAATATTCTGTATTGATTATATTATTATTTAAATAAATAATATATATATTATTGTTTATATATATATATATATATATTTCTGTGTGATTTTTAAAAAATTAATGCACAGTTATTTCTATATGCAATACATAAATATAATAATAAATAATACACAAACAAACAAAAATATTGTGTGTGTATAACATAATTGCCAATTTATTTAGTAAATCTATGTTATATAATATAATACTATATAAATATTAATAAATATACTGTATATTTATGTAGTAGACCTATGATTCGGTAGTTAAATTAAAAATTAATTTTTATATTTCCACCCAACTGTTTATATATACTGTATATAAATATTATTATTATTACTGTATTACTGTATTATACAGGTATGTTTGCAATACCATTGCAATTGCTATACACACATTCACATATATCTGGCCTAAATGTTTATATATATATATATATATATATATATATATTTGCTCATAATAATAATAACAATAATAATAATAGTGACATACAAAAAATATATATAACTGGTTACTATCACGTAAATGATGTAAATCATATGGAAAATCATGTTTATATATATATAGTATATACTGTATATATATATATATATATATAGTATATACTGTATATATATATATATATAGTATATACTGTATATATATATATATATATAGTATATACTGTATATATATATATATATAGTATATACTGTATATATATATATATGTTATACCTGTAATATGCTATAATGCAATATTTTATGTGTATAATAAAGAATATAGTGTAGAATATAAATACATACTGTATTTATTTATTTTTTTAATATACATTATAAAAATTTATATACCTTTATATAAATATATTTTAACTTATTTTCCAATTGCATGTCATACAAAATAAAATCTCTCTCTCTCTCTCTCTCTCTCTCTCTCTCTCTCTCTCTGTTTGTCTGTAAAAATACATTAAAATATCTAAAATAAAATCTCACAAAAACACCAAAAAAATTTGTTGTAAAATCTGCTAAAATATTTATACCGTAATTATTATAGCTGAGTGTGTGTGTAATATTATATATAAATTTTGTAAAATAAATTTTTAATAGTATTATTGCAAAATACATCTACAGTTGTACTACTAATACTGTATAGAAAAGAGGAAAATATAACTTCAAGTCTAACGTAATTAAAGTAATTCAATATATATACAGTATATACTGTATATACTTATTAAAATCAATATATATTTTTAAAGCAATCTAATTATTAATTTATATAAAATCAAAATCTTAGTATTTATCTAAATAAAAATTAGTATTTATTATTTATCTTGTTAATTTATTAATTTAGTATCTTTATAATTATTTTTAACAAAAATAATTAAATTAAAAAATTATATATATATAATATTATTACTAACTAAAGTTACAAAAGTTATCTACAAAAACAAAATAAGAAAATACTTTAAATATTTATAAACAAAAATTTTAATTATTATAATGTATATTTTATAGTTGTACTAAAATATATAGTTAGTATTTAACTATTTGTAATTAATTAAAAAATAATAATAATTATATAAATAATAAATATATTTATTTATTTCTAATATATTTAGTGAAAACTATGCTGGTAGAAATATTACCAAGATACTGGACGATTTTTTTGGTAAAGGCAACTATGATAAACGTGTCAGGCCAAATTATGGAGGTATTAATTATTTTTTTAAAAATTTTATTATTTATTATTTTATTAATAATTAAAAAAATCAATATTAAAAAATCAGTATCATTTACTTAAAAATATTTTTAAGCTATTATCTTAAACTATTGACTAGTAATAATAATAATAATAATACTAAAAAAATATATATTAGTAGTAATAATAATAATACTAAAAAAATATATTAGTAATAATAATACTAAACAAATATATTAGTAGTTACAATAATACTAAAAAATATGTTAGTAATAATAATAAAGTGTAATTTAGTAATATTATAGTTTAGTAGTTTGAAAAATAAATACAAACACTTTTACTACTAATATGATATATGATAATAATTTGTATAAATATTTATTATTTTTAAAAAAATAATAATAATTTACTCATATTATACTAATTGTTTTAATTGTATCAAGGTGCACCAGTGGAAGTGGGTGTGACCATGCACATTATCGGAATTAGTTCCGTATCCGAGGTCCAAATGGTATGGCATAGACAGCACACTTACCGTTAATTAATAGCATTATTATTGTTGTTATTATATAATAATAATTATTATTATTTTAATCAACACACACACACACCTACTCCTATACCTACACTCCTATACCCACCCATCCATCCAACTATCAAAACAGGACTTTACGTCAGATTTTTATTTTCGCCAAAAATGGAAAGACAATCGCCTATCGTTTGAACCGACGTCCGGCGTTACCGAACTGGTCGTCGGTTCGGAAGTGGCCAAAAATATATGGGTGCCCGACACATTTTTTGCCAATGAAAAATTGGCCACTTTTCACGATGCCACCACACCCAATACGTTTTTAAGGATAGACCATACGGGACACGTCTATAGGAGTATCAGGTAATTAATGTGTATTTATTATTATTATTATTATTAATAGTTTAACTATAGTTTATTACAGTAGTAATGATTTTATATCATATTATTAATTTTTTTTGTTTTGTTATAATATTGATAATAATATTACAACAAAATTAAGTAAATTATTGATTAGCATTGCTATTTAACTATTTGACTATTTATTTGACTGTGTATTAAATCATTGATTTAATATTTTTTGCTATTATTATTATTATTATATCAACATAAAAGTAGTAGTAGTAGGTAGTTAACATTTATTTATTTTATTATTATGATTTTTAATAGAGAATCAAAAAATAGATATAACATAATAACTAAGTAATAATAGTAAAAAAATTATAAATTATATGTATTTTCAAATTTATATACACCTACTAATATTTATATCATATCTAATATATATATATATATTTATAACTGTACAATAGTATATTGGTGATAATAATGTTATGATGATATAAATTTAACAAATAGTATACGTATTATAGTTTATTATTATTATTATTATACAATACATAGTAACAGTAATATTTTTTTAAAAAAATATTATACTATATTATATATTATACAAGTTTTATGAGTGAAATGTAATATAAACATTGCCTCAGGCAGTAGTGATATTTTAAAAATTTTATTTATATAATATTTTTGCTGCACATTGTCTAGTATATTGATATACTCTATAATAAAATGTATAAATATAGCTATGTGTTTATGTTTAGTGTTATTTAAAGTGATAATTTTATTGAGTTTAATTTTCATTGACATTTACTATGAATAGTATATATATATATATTTATAGTATAATATATATTGATATATATAAACCTATAGGTTATACCTTTAAATAGTCTATTTTTCTAAAAATATTTATTTTATATTTTTAGTTTATAGTTAGTTATAGTTTTTTAATATTTATTTTGAGGTAATAAAATAGATATTTTTGTAGATATATCATATATATATATATATATATATATATAAATTATTTTTTAACAAAGTTTAAAACCACTATGAAATATTTATATAGTTTTATAATTAATTTGATTAATAAATATATTTTAAAAAATTTATACTAAATATATTATTCACAATAATTATATAAATATACTTTATCTATACAGGCAATAGTTATCTTTAAAAAATTAAATTACTGTTAATTGTAATTGTAAAATTGAATTTAAAAAAACTAATTAAACAAAATTAAAAATTATTAGTTGAAAACATTTCAATAAATTTATTTAGCAGATAAAATCTCTGATATTAAGTAATGTATTTTAATTTAATACAAATAGATTTTTTAGATAAAAAAATATTTTTTTTTTGCTCAACTTATTAAACGTCACAAAAAAACTTACATTAAAATCAGTAATACCTATAATATATATATATATCTAAAAATATATTATATCTATATATTGTATTATTTAAACATACTGTATAAAATATGATATATATATAGATCATAATATAAAAAAATGTATTAATATTTATTAAAAACTTATTTATATCTATATCTATATTATTATTATTATATATAAGAAATCTTTGAATTATTTTTTTCAATTCATTTCTTTTTAAATAACAAATCGATTTTATATTTTGCTGTTTGTTATGTCTGGCTGTTTGTATGTATTGTATATGTCTTTTTAAAATACATAAATGCATAGACAGTCATATATACACACACACACACATATATATATATATATATATATATATATACATACATACATACATACACAAACATACACAAATATATATACATATATATATATATACTGTATATATGAAAATTGGATTTTTGTATTTTGTTGTTGTTGTTGTTCACCAATTTTTTTATCATATATATATATATAAAGTACTGTACATGTACTGTACTTTACCAGTACATAGTAATATAAAATTTATATATATAAAATTTATATATATAAAATAAAAATAACATATAGAATATTATTTTCTATTTTACTTAAACAACCAAAAAAAAATTTTTTATACATAATAAAAATATATTCAAATCAATTTCCTTTGGGGGGTGCAAATCAAACAAATAATATACAGTATATACTGTTATATAGAAAATAATCAAATAATAAATATAGAAAAAAAACAACCTAAAACAAATACACTATAATCAAAATAAAACTATTGTATAGAAATAACAACATTATATATACTTATATATAAATCTTACTAATATCTAACAGAGAGAATGAGAGAGAGAGAGAGAGATAGAGAGAGAGGAAACAAAAATATTTATATATATACAGTATATAAAATCCATTATTTTTATTAAAACTTAATATTTTATTATTTCAATCATTTATCCAGTTTAGCTAACAGTGTTTTTGTGTAACTATGTATATACTATATGTTATTATTTTTTATATTTAATTAGATTTGTATGTTTAATGTTTAAACCACATATATATATATATATATATTAATTGTATTAAATGTTGTATTTATTTGTATTGATTAATTATGTTAAAATATATATTAAAACAATTTAAAATAATTGTTTACATATACAACATATAGCTCTAATGTGATAAACATTTATATAATACAGTATAAAAAATAAAACAACATATATGCAAAACAATTCAATATCATATAAATATAAATATATATAGTATATTAATTTAATAATCTGCTATAAAATTTTGGTTTTATAACTAAAAACACATCTAAAAAAATAATAAAAATATTTTTACATAAAAATACTGTTAATGTTTAGTAACATATCTATTGAAACAAATTTACATATAAATTAATTAGTAATGCACTTCTAAAAATACTTACATTTAATTGTATTAATTGTAGTACACTTAGCAATAGTATAGATACAGTATTATTATTACAATATTATTATTATTTAATAGTAATAGTAATAGTCATTATTAAGTAATTTTTTTAACTGCAATTATTTTTTTTTTTAAAAAATTTACAATACATTCTCTGAATAATAATATAAAAAATTTTAATTAAAATAATTGTCACAATTTTAATATGAAAATTGCATAACTATTTATTACTACTATTTTCACTATATAATATATATATATATATATATTAATGTATAACCTTGATTAGACTTTATAATTGTCACAATATGCATATCAATTGAATGCTAATTTTTAAAATAAAAATAATTATAATATGATTTGAATACTGTATATATTGTTATATATATATATATATATATATTTATATAGATTAATAACTTTATAAATTGCTTTAGTATTATAATTTATTACTGTATGTATAAAATAATATAGAGAATTATTAAAAGCAATTTATATTATTATAAATATTATTATCATATATAATATACTGTTTATTATACAATAAATATATTAATAGTTTTATTAAAACTATTCATTTAAAATAATAAAATATAAACATAATATATGTATATATATATATAAAATATCATTTACGAAAAAAATAGTATTGCAATATTTTTAATATAAAGCAATTTAAAAAAAAATTTATTATCAATTTATATATTTTTCAAATAAAATGGTTATCAATATTAATATATAAATTTATATAACTGTATATGCAAAGTATATAATAATTAAATATTAATATCATATTATGTTATCAAATATTGAACAGTAGTTTGTTTTTGTTTGAAATTACTTATACAATAGTATAGTATTTTTAGTATAATATATATACACTGTATAGTAAATTATTTTTATATCATATATATATATTCTAATCTATTGTTTAATTTATTAATATCTTATATGCTTTATTTAAAGAGCTGCTATTGTTTAATAATTTAAATGATATATTGTTATACTATATCTAATATATATAATATCCAATACTCTCTATCTATCTATCTATCTATCTATTTATATATATCTTTCAATCTTTAAACATGTCATCAACATTTGGGTGTGTAGTTCATAGACATATCAAATCATATTTGATAACATAATCATTGGGCGAAAAACTCATTTGACTTAAACTCATATAATCTATTATCTAACAAAAATAAAACACTAAACTAACTACTGGTTTATGTGTTTTTAATATATATATATACTTTATATATTAGATTAAAAATATAAATAGTAATTTTATTATTTATAAAAAATAATAATACATACATAAGAGATTTAATGTGTTTGAAATTTTAAATGTTTTTACAATAAAAAAATTAACTTATATTATAATAGTAAAGTATAGTATAGTTTATTATTTAAATATATATTTATATTAGAATAGTGTAATATATAGTAAAATATTTAGTAAAACATATAAACCTCGGGCATAAAGTAGTTTATAATTTATTTTTAACAATTTAGCTTTAAAACAATACCAAATAAAAGTAAAAATATTTAAATTTTGTAAACTTTAAAAAATAATATTATTTTAAGTAATAATAGCTCGAAGTGTATTCAAAATAACAAAACATATATATATATATATATATATATATATATATATACTATCTGTTTTTCGCGATATTTTCTCATAAATATTTAGAAAATAAATTAATTTATAATGAATCAAAAAAATATATTACTAATTGTTTGTTTGCATCAAATTTTTGTACATCATTATATTTAATAATAATAATAATAATAATAATAATTATTATTATTACTCTATAATATAAAGTTAGCTAATATAAATTCATTAGGTAAAAATTACTAATAATATTATTATTTATTAAAAATTCTATATTAAAATATTAGTTAATAATACAATATAAATAATATTAATAATTTTTTCCTAAAATTTAATATAGCTATTTACTGTTACAATAGATTAATTAATATTTGTATCACAATTTATATTATTAGGTAATAATTTTTATAATAAATTGACATTGTACAAACAAAAATATATATATATTGATAGTATATAATAATAATAATAAATTTTTAAAATGGAATTTCTATAATATTTTTACCGATAAAAATTTTAAATTATTTTTTTACAATTTATTTTTT